AAGGACCGTACCATTAAGTCTCACAGATCGTCTCCCTCTAGTAACTCCAGCACCCACTTAATTGGCATGAAGAAGACTCTTGTTTTTCACAGGGGTCGTGCTCCTAAGGGTGAGCGTACCAATTGGATCATGCATGAATATCGTGCCACTGAACCGGATCTTGACGGAACTGCCTCTGGCCAGGTTTGAAGTTTCCTCTTTTTTCTTGCACACGCTCCTTCCTGTATCAGTGTATTTGTACAATTTTTTTTTTTTACTTAATTAGCTCAGAAAGTTTGGTTGTTACTATGTTGTCGTAATTGTTACTTATTTCTTTTGAGAATAAAAGTCTACTTGCTGAATAAAGCTACTATACCGTCATTCATCACCTTAGCTAATGCTAACTATTTTAACCTGTGGACCTTGTTAATGAAAGAGATACTCCATTGTGCTTCGGTTTGATGCACCAATCAGTAATCAATAGGAGTTAATACTTTTTCCTTTTTAACTTGCACCATTCACATTAATTTCTTTTTTCTATTTCTTTGAATATTGTTTTAAGTTTTTAATATGGAATGTCCAGAAGGTATAATGGGACTTCAAATGATATTTTCCTAAGGAGATATAGGATTACCGGGTCTATCTTTATTTATGCTAATTTTGCGTAGGGTTGTTGGGTCATTCTTCTTTGCATAGGGTCTATCATTATATTTATTCTAATTTTTAAAATTTTGTTTTAAGTTCTTCTTCATGCTGTTTTTATTATTCTTCTTTATTGTGCTAAGTTACCTTCCCAGTGCTTCAGTGACTTCCTTTTGAGATTTTATCTAAGCATGTTGTACACTGGGTGTTGTTCAGCAAAAGATTTTAATCATGATGAGATATTAATTTGAATGAGAGGATAGTTGAGGCATGGATGTGTGGTTTGTGTAGGAAGCACCATATAAGCTTAATTTTATATGGTGTAGAGACTGTTGGCAATTAAGGGTAGACAACTAAACCCTAGGTAGAAAATCAGAATTGGGAGCACACTACAAAGGACATGAAGGGGGAGTATCTTTCTTGGAAGAATAATGTACATTGACACCCAGCTACAGGTCCATGCCGTACTTTGAGTTCACTAACTGATCATTTGAACAAACTTTATGACAATAGTAACCCGGATGAATTCTGTAGCTGATTGGCAAAAGTGAGGACTTATATGGATGTTCACTCTCTTTACTAGATAAGCCAGCTGTGCTTGTGAGGTTTAGGTGTGCTTTTATAAGCATTTGCTTCTAGTTTTGAGCCGCAACAACCTAAATTTCCAGCTAAAGGATATTCTTCTTTGGGTTGGCTCTTAATGTTCCAAGAGTCATTATGTTGTGACCTTGGAGTGGTCCTCCATGAGAGGCATGTTAGGCAGCTGTACCATTTCTGTTTTCTGTATGAAGTTTCTCAGCTGCACTTTATTCTGAAGGATCTGATTGGAACATTCTGATCTAGACTGTTTTTTTGAAGTGCTGGGGTAATAGAGGACTTCTTTATCAGTTACATCCCATGCTTGGTTAAAGCAGTCGCATTGAGAGCTGTGCCCCTGTTCAGTAAATTTTAGTAGAGCAGCCAATTCATCTGAAAGCAACAATTCTTGGTGTCCATGATGTGGATCGTAGCAGTAATAGCTTTCTCTAGGGATTAGTAGTTATACGTCTGTCTGTTTATTGCTTTTGCATATTTGAGTGTCATGATCTGACCCCAAGGACAATTAGCTTTGCCATTTTCACTACCTTAAAAGTGCTTGGTTCTTCTATGTTATTCGAACATAATCCGATATACCTTTCAAGATAGAATATAGCCTTTTGAAATGTTTATGCCACTAATCATCATTCCCACCCTGCCACTATGAGTACCACTATTACCACCAAGTCCTTTTCCTTTTATGGATAGCACAATTGATGGTGGAGAAAAATTTAGGGCAATTGATAGCTGTGGCATAAATACTCTAATTCAGTGAAGCTTTATGTATGACGTTCTTTGACCTTTTAAGGTTAAATTGCACTTGTGGTCCTACTTGATTTGAGTATTAACTAACTAGGTTTTTAAGTTTAAGCAAATAGACCTTTTGTTCCTTAACTTCTCATTTTGGATCACTGAAGGACTACTCATCAAATATGCGTAATTACTATGAAAAGGAAACTTATACTAAGTTCTGCCCTTCCCCTCCTTCATCCTCCTTCCCCTCCTCCTCGTCATCACTGCAATTGACATCGAGAAATAAGAATTATGATGTTGACTGGAAAGTAGATGGTGTCTTCTGTTTATATCCATTAAACATTAGCAGTTGATGTCTATAGTACAATTCTCCTTCTAGCGATTCCCTTGCCATGTTGGCAACAGGATGAATGACATTCTGTGCAAAACTTTAGGGACCAAATATTAGAGACAATAGTGAATTTTACTCATCTTCTTTTCAATTAGATATCTTTGATGGAAAGCGTCCTCCCATGAAAGAATAGAGGGTAGAAAAACTAAACTAAGAAAATGCCTAGAAAAAAAGGTACAGCAAATGAATTTTCATATTTGTGTAGAAAAAAACATGCCTTTCTTTTTACGGAATTGACAAAGAAACAGAATTGACTTCTGTTTTTTGACCTGTGTCCCTTCTTTTATCCCCTTTTGTTGTTGGAGGGTTAATTTTGGATCTTTACTGATTTTGTATTGGTTTCTTAACCCTTTGGGCTGCTGTTATTGTGTCTCTCTTAGCTATTTGTTAGTCTGTATTGTTCATACATTTTTCCTTCATTAACATGATGCAGGCTGCCTATGTCCTCTGTCGGTTATTTCATAAGCCTGATGAGAAGGCTGACAGTTCTAAATATGATGAAGTTGAACCAAGTGGTTCTTCCCCAAACACAGTCAAGTCATCACCCGATGATGCATCATCAGATCTGTTTCAAGAACGATTAATCCTTGATATGCAGGTTCGCAAGCAACCAGCAGGTATTGAGAGGTGGCTGACAGATAAATCAGATGATGTGACCTCTAATAGTCTTCTGCATGTTGAAAGCTGCACGTCAGATGTTGAAGATCACTTAATAGAAGCAGCCATTACAGAGGTAAGGGAAACCTGTTTTATTAGCTGAAATCTCTTGAGAAAGTTTTCATCTGGATGTCCAAGAAACTTCAAGTCCGGGGGTTTTTTGTTCCTGCTGTTTACTTCAGGTATATCCAACTACTGGAGGACATCCAATGTGTCATGAATCCAGAGATGGTCTCGATTGCAAGGTCTTCTCCCCATTAGTGTCTCAGAATCACACAGAGATAGGATGTCCTGATTCACCTTTTGCTGATGACTTTGGCTGCAATCAGAAGGGGATGCACTTTCAGGATGGCACCTCGGAACAGGATGTTTCTCTGACAGAACTATTGGATGTCCTTCAGAATTATGATGCATATCCTTGTAAGGAGTCAACAAGTGAGAAGTTTCTATATGTTGGTAGCAGAAGCATGTTACCTGACCAGCTACATGAAGGGCCGGCTGGAAACTGCAATCCCAGGGATTGGGGTGCATTTGGGAAGGCAGGCGAAGATATGGTCATAGAACAGGTAAAACATAATCATCTTCTTTTTGGCGGATCCTTCAGTTGCTAATTTCAATTTTTGTTTTGGACCATGCTATTGGTTTGGGTAAGCTTGAGCATTTATTTTGGTTATGGACAACGAGAAGAGAGATTAGACACTGCTGATTATTTGATTGGGGTTGATGAACTTCAATGCAACTTTTGCTTGTCCCAGATTATGTTTTGATGATAACTACCTGTGTGGTTCTTATCATCCAATGCTTGAGTTTGTTTGTTGGCATATCTGTAGACTCGAACATGTCCAAGATCCTTCCAGTCTCAAGCACCAATTCGTGATGCAGACTCCAGACTGAGTAACGATGGTGCATCTCATGATCATTATGCCGGTAAGACAAGTTATCTGCCTGTTGTATTGTGGATGCTTTTGGTAATGTTGAACAATCTCATCAATCTCGTAACCATGCAGATCCTGTCAGTCTTGGTGGCGATCATCAGGAAGGAACTGGAATCAAGATTCATAGACGTCAGGCAAGCAATCGACCAGGTTGTGAAAACCTGGCCAAACAAGGCACAGCAGCAAGGAGATTCCGCCTACAGGTGGATTCTGCTCCAATCCCTATTCATGATGGGAAATACAGCAGGGCCAAGAGCTTTAGCAATGAAGAACAAGACGAACGCTCGGTTACAACTGAGGTGAGATTTAATTATTGATTCTGGAAGTATTAGTGATGAGTGAAACAGATCCTTATAATCAGCTGAATTTCTTGGAATAATTCTAGCACCCTTAAAACCATGCTGCTGCGAGGGTTGACTCCAGAGTGACCATTGACTAGGAAGACATTTGCTAATTAGTTAGTCTTCGTTTTACATTCAGGGAAAAGAACTTTGGCTATTTGCAAAATGTGTTGGGTTGGAGAAGGCATGGAAAGAGAGAATTTGTCTATTTATTGTTTCCATTTGTCTTTGCAGGATGACGAGTATTCCGAATCTTCATGCACATCTAATGAGCCAGAGGGGGGAAGCAGTAGCAGTGAGAGTGGAACAAGTGCGCGAAAATTCAAAGCTGGACTTGCGTTGACAAATAAAGAAGCTGATGAGAAAGACAAAGTGAAATGGAAGAAATTTCTTCTGAGGCCACCGGGTGATAGCAGCGGAACCGGTTCTTTGACAGTTTATGGCGTGAGCATGTATCTTGTGATGGTCCTGTTTATATTGTTTGTTTTCCTATGGAAATGCCCTAATTTCTTTGCATTGCACATCTGAAATTGTTCATGTACATCCAGTAGGCATTATGTTTTTTCCTTTTTAGAAATAATTTCTGGAGGCTGGTTGTTGAGCCATTTAGATTGGGTTGTAATTTGTAAGGTCTGCACCTTTATATAATTACTAGGAGGCATGGGCCGCGCTCTGCGCGGCAACAACTTATGGTGGATGCCCAGAAAAAAATATGAAGTAGATATATCCCTTGGAAAGTAAAAAGTTGAGGGTATTGGTTGTAATAAAGAACGTAATAAGAGACAATAAAAGAACCAACAACCAAAGTAAAAGCTAAACGTTATAACAGGAAGCGAAAATTTAAAATATACCGTTCTGGAGCCACACGTTCCAGCGGAAAAATTGCAAAGGAAGCTTTTACAGTTAAAGCAATAAATAAACTAAATGTGGAACCGATGATGCCACGGATACATGATTTCGAGTCCATTTGTTCCGAAGATCAAAACAGCTAGTGAAGTGCGTGACTGCGGCATGAAGAAAAGGATTTCTCCCTCTCGAAGGTCATGATCAATAACGAAAGTGTTCCAGTTTTGATGAAATCTATTTTGTGTCACTCCAATGTTGTAAATCTTGATTCCACTTGTCAAGACTATAGATGGTGTTCTGGATTCATGTAATCTGGAAGTTACATAGCGGGGAATCTTCTGTCAAAACAAATAAGCTATAAAAATTAATAACTTATAATTGTAACAAGTATGGAACAAATAGAAAGTGTATACTGAGAAACATTTGAGTAAATATGCATATATATACCATGGAGTACTTGAACTCGGAGGAAAAAATTTGATAGAAGGTATCTAACGCCATTAAATTGTGTGCAAAAAAGCGATTGATTGATGATGTGATTAATTTCAAATCTGATTGATTATTAGCAAAACCTGTAATAGAAAAAAGAGCATGTGAGAATGTATATTTTTCTGAAAGGAAAAGACGTATTAGGGGACTGAATAAGTTTCCTTCTGAAGTGGATAATTTAGAAGGGATCATTGGAAGGTGTAATGTCCAGCGGGTGTAAACAAGCCTCTGATCAAACCCAAAAGTAAATATGTCATATGTAAAACTCCCTCTATTTCTTAAAAATATCATATCATTCTCGGCAATATAGTTATCTGAGCAAAAAGTCATCCATTCTCCTTCAAAACAACGGTTTCTGATTTCTAAGTTCCACCGAGCCAAGCCATGCTGAACAACTATAGTCTGTCCATGTTGAAAACGGTTGGATTCAAACATATCATCGGGTATTTCCTGGAGAAAGCAAAAAAACATATTGGATAAACTGAAACATAAAAGAAAAGCAGTGAATAATTAAACAAGCTACCTGTTTTTCAATGTTTGTGCAAAATAGTACATAACACCATTGCTGTCCATTGGAAATTCTACAGCTCTTAGCTGGTTCTAGAAGCAAAATATAAAGATTAAGTATATTAGATTACGTAGGAGCGGATAAAGGGTCTAACAAAAATACCATTTCAAAGGGAAATCGTACCTGTTTTTACAAATGCTGATGAAGAGATGTGGGTGATAGTTTGTAACCACTGTTGAATCGATTCAACCGAATACAAATATGGTTCACCTAGCGCACGAAGAATCATAGGATAAGCTTCAAGGAAGGCATTTTTTGGATAGCATACCATGTTTCCCAAGCCTTTCTGTGCAGCAGTGGCTACATGAATCTTTCTGTGATCAAATGTTAAGAGGTAAAATCGTATTTTCGTCTTCAGCTGAACTGATTCCCATTTTTTGAAAGGATTTTTTGGTCGATTCATTTGTAGTGATGGAAAAAGATGATAGGTTGGAGCAAAGGAAAAAAGAAATGTTTTTCGGCAAGAGTATGAATGAAGAGTTGTTCCAGAGCACGTATAAAAAGACGGTGAAATATTAGGTAACCCAATTAAATGCAAAGGTAAGAGAGCCGCTGGGAACATTAAAGATGAAAGAGGTGAAATACAGGCTTCTTCGAAACACAGATATACATTAAGCAATAGAGTTGCTCTGCCTATAATAAATGGGCTGAAATTATATAGGTAGAGAAATAACTGTTAGCCATCATGGTATCATGCTGAGTTGTTACATATTTGCAACGGGAGACAAGAAAAAATAATAATTGGAAGGCGTGTAAATGTGTAAGAAATCCCCAAAGATTAAAATGTGGCCTCCTTTGCAGCAATTAAGAACGATTGCAGACTTATTAGTAAATATCGCATTCACTGCCTGACTCTGTTTCAAGGCTCACCTTCCTCTTTTTATATGGAAGTCTTCTGCTGAGCCGGAGAGGACTTGGCATTATATACAGAAGACAGTGCATATGGTTTAATAGAAAGAATAGTTAAGGGAAACAAAGCCAAGGGACTATAAATAAGAAAATAAAGGTTCAGAGATTTCTGGCAAGACGATGTTCTGCAATAAACAAAAGTACAGACGCTACTATTTCGCCATCTGAATGCACTGTCCCAAAACAAAAGAGTAGACATAGTTTACTCAGAACAAAAGCATGCATAAAGGCACATGACCAGCTAGGTGCATTGTTTTAGAAGAAAGAGTAAAATAGCATGATCAGACAAGTTTTGCTTTTTTTGCGTCGCGTGGCTTATCATGAGTTTCTTCAACTTGTGGTTCTTCAACCTGAGAGAATTTTGTATCAAGGCGAACTCTGACCTTTGATGTAGAACCAGGCTCATCTGAATGACAAATAACTCTAAACCATCAGTAAATGTATTTAATAAAGATCTCGTATGAGACAAGCCGTAACAATAATGAATAGACCTGGCGTCAAAGCTTGCACTGTTGAATTAGGCAGGGCTCCCACTTCTCCGGATTGTTGGAGGGGCAATGCGTTGCGATCACTTTCGAAACAGTAGACAATTGTATAGCGTTGGTGAGATGACCCATCTCTATTATTTACTGGCTTTAACTGGACAATGAACATCTTTGACTGAAGACTATCATGAACCTTTTCCAGCGGCAACTCTATATTCTATAGGAAAAGAAAACAGAATAATAATAAAGTATCTTGATTTCTTATAGCAGTGCATGAACCATTCAACTGATAAATTGTATGGTTGTTATCATCTCGATGCAAGCTAACGAAAGGTACGTGATAGTTTTTCATATATGTATGACCTTCCTCTGATGCTCCATAGCTTCAATTGCAGTGAATGTGAGCAAACTTTCAGCCAACTCGCCAAAGATCGACGCAGTCAGTGTATCTGTGTCGTCTGTGAGATCGACATCAAAGCGGCATCTACATTAGATAAGAATAAAAGCATCGTTAGTATGGTAATTCATATAGAGATTAAGGAATTTCTGAAAAAATAAATAGCTGAAAGGTAAGATTAGTTTCCTGGGTGAAGCTTTCTGCTTTTCATCACAGTGGTTGCAGGTGTAAGTAGTAGCAAAATTTGCCGATGTCATGCGATGGCATTTGGTACAAGCCATGTAATAGTACTTCTGGAAAATGTGTTGAAAGGATAACTTTGCTTTTACCCACGAGAGCTGAGATATTTTTTTTAAAAAATACATTCAAATTTTTGAAAGAGAATGGTTAATAAATAATCTGTATAATACACCAAACAATCAGAACAAAAGAGAGCTATAAAAAAAGATATAACCTTTTGAGTGGGAACAACATCAATAAGCGAAGTAATTTTTTGCTGCGACTGATAAAACATCTGAGGGCTACGATTCGAAGTCATTTTATCCTGAACAAGATCAGCTAAGTATTTTTCATGCCTAACAGCCCTACAAAAACTCAGAAAAAAGAGCATACGGGTGTTCAATATAGCAGTGATTAGTTATAAGATGTAAGAAAAAGAAGTTTAATAGTGAAGCTACCAGTGTTTGAGTTGGTTGGCATCTCTCACTGGTGGATTAACAAGAATGGCTGTGTCTTTTTTAGTTGACAAAGCGATCCCTATTTTGTTGATATTATCAAGTTAAAGAATAACATAGTTACAAAGTTCGAAAGAAAAGCTAATAAGCATACTTAGCAACAGTGCCACTAACCATCATATGTGACGACCTTAACCCTGCGACATACGACAACAGGAAACTTATCCTTCTGCTGAAGAATTGCCTTTCCTTCGTTTTCGATGAATTCGTTCCAGAGAGATAGTACAACAGGATTCATTCTATGCATAAGGAGAGTAAAAAAGATAACAGTTATTACTGCAGTAAAAGCTGATGCTGCAACAGGAACAGATATATAATTCATGACAAACAGATTCATTGAAGAAGCCAATGCTTAACTCTTCATTGACAAGCACAAATCTCTGCACCGACGAGTCACCAGAATCCTTATGGACTGGAATGATAGAGGATGCATTAACAACAACGCCAATGACATCTACATTAAGGGAAAGAATTTGTTAAACAGCGCCGCCAATGACATCTGCATTGAGGTATTTCGAGTTTTACATAAATATAATATAAAGAAAAATGAGCATTGCACTGACCAACAGTTTCATTCGTAGAGTCTGCATAATGGCCAAGATCTTTATATTCTGTAAAAGTGAATCGAAACGGCAACACACCAGAATCATCTTCATCAATTTCTTCAACAACTGTGTCTGTTCCTATAACCCATTGAAGTTTAAGATCATCAATTCGAAACTTTTCAGCAGTATGCCTAACATCTGCATTAGAGATGCGATATTTTTTGTATAGCCTCAGCTTTGGACCCATCTTTTCTATGGCATAATTAAAAAGTATCCCCTGAACTCTAGCTCCCTGCAAAAGAGAGATCAGTGTGAAGGATTTAACAAGAAAAAAAGAGGAAAGTAAATAAGGAAGAGTTAGGAAAAAAAAGCATAAAGTATATAATATATATTAAACACTGGAAAATTTCTATAGCAGCTGTCGTTAGTATAATAAGGTTACCTTTGAGTCAGCAAGTATGAACTTTTGGTACTTGGTTGGAGTAGAGAACGAAGACCCAATATTCATTTTTTCTTGCACCGTTACTATAGCTGTCCATGATTTCATTCCAGGCTTTATATCATCAATAAACAGAACATCACCCATACTGCATTAAAGATGAAGCAAATCTATATAAAGGTTAAGCCTAAACAAATAACAATAGAAAGTAAATAATAAACGCAGTGAGTGGAATGCAGGCAATATAAAGAATCTTTGTAGGTGAAGCTACAAGTGTGCAAATACCTCAATGCATGTAGTCATCTTTTAGCTAATTCTAGAATTTCCCGGTAAACAACGTTTCGGGTTTTAACCTCAACGACAGTATCATGAAAAGTTGGTGGCATTATCAAAACTTTAACAGCAGTTGCCATCTTAGCGCGAGATAAAGCAACGTATAGTTGGCCATGCGAAAAAACAGGCTCGCGGAGATAGATGCCTACACGATCCAATGTTTGACCTTGCGACTTATTGATGGTCATGGCAAAGCAAAGCTTTATTGGAAACTGAATACGTTTAAAAGGAATTCCAATCTTCTCAGCATCAGATGTTTGCAGTGGAATTCTAGGCAAAACAATTTGTTTGCCTCGATGCTCACCGACTGCAATCTCAGCACAGAGCACATGCTGTTTTAAGCTTCTGCAAATGAGCCTTGTCCCATTACATAATCCTTCTGTAGGATTTAAGTTCCTTAGAAGAATGATAGGACAGTTTTCTTTCAGGACTAATTTATGGGGAGGCAAACCTTTGGGATTTAAAGAATTCAGAAAGTCTTGGTAGTCCCCTTGATCTCTTTCATTTAGAGTTCTATCAGTGCTCATATAAACATAGGCCTGTCCAGGGAATCGATCAATCATCATCTCATTAATATCATCGACACAGGAGTTCTTTGGCGTAAGAACGCATCTGTTGATCATGCTGTATGGATCTAATGAATAAAGGCAGAGATCGGAGAATACAAAATCCACTAACCTGAGTAGGTAAGAATATGATTAGAAGCGTGTGAGTGTGTATATATATATATGTATACACAAAATGCACCTATAAGAGCAGTATGCCTTAAGGATAAATTTTTTTTCCTAACCTGTTCAGTGATTCATTCTTGTTATTGTACCGAATTAATAAATGCTCACATAAAGATATTTTCCCTTCAAGATCTTCAGGTTCACGGCCTTCACCAACTCTAAGAAGGAAATCTGAGTATGGAAGGTCTAAAAGGGCTCGCATATTTTCTGATAAAGAAAGCTTTGTCAGAGTATTCCATAAAAGAGAATTAACAAAGCTAGCTTCGATCTGCTGGTCCCTAGATGCATTTGGTATAACAGGTAGAGTCTGACGAAAATCACCACCAAAAACTACTATTTTACCACCAAAAGGCATATCAGAATCCATCACATCTTTCAGCAATAGATCAAATGCTTCCACAGTATCCTTTTTAGCCATCGAAGCCTCATCCCAGAGAATTAGTTTGGCTAGCGAAATCAGCTTAGCTATAGAGCTCTGCTTGCTGATTTGGCAGGTTCTGCTCGCTGACACATCCAACGGAATCTTGAATCTTGAATGAGCAGTCCTTCCTCCAGGAAGAATAGAAGCAGCAACGCCGGACGATGCAACTGCTATCGCAATATAGCCCTGAGATCTAAGCGTTGCAAGAAGTGAACGATATAAAAACGTTTTGCCAGTCCCCCCAGGACCATCAACAAAAAAGCTCTTACTCCCAGAAGAATAAACCTCAGTTAGAATAACATCGTAAGCATGTTTCTGGGCTTCGTTCAATTTCGAAGATAAGAGCAAGTCTTCTTCCGTGAATGGAATGTTTCTCTCACTCTCTATCTCCTTTGTGAGCCGATCATCACATACAAGAGAAAATCCTTCAGGAACAAGATGGTAGTCACTCACATTCCTTCCCATCTGTTCTAAGATTCTGTTTATCTCTTGGAGAGTACGCATTCTTATTTGATCAGAATCGCAATCAGTCAAATGAGAGTTCCTTTTTAAATCCTGGGAAAGCTCACCCTCGAATCTTTCCCAAAGAAGCCTTGGATTGCTGGGGGAGCAATAGACTAAGAGAACTGCAAACAGAGTTCTGAGCGAGAATGGCATTTGAAATGTTGCTGCATCCGTAAGAGCATCCTCTAAGTACGTATCAGATTGGAGCAAACCCATTTCGAAGGCAGCCTCTCTATATGATAGAGCAAGCTTACCATTGACAGTGAGTAGATCCTCAAATGACGTTGGAGCATGAACATGAGATAGAAGTAATCGAAGATAATAACGTTCTCCCTCAGTTGGGCTAACAGTTACCAATCTGCCAATGACCGACCTCCGCTTCCTGGGAGTCCAGTTTCTTGTTTTGGGAGTCCAGACAAAAAACTCAGGAAAGTCACGGTAAAGGCAATTGAGGTTTTGAGCTATTTTATCGGTCTTATTCATGTGAAAAAATTGTGTAAGCATTGTCTTGCTAAAATCAGCACGGTTCACAACATCAGCAAGGTCAGAATGTTTATGAAATGAAATCATCTGGTGGCCTGGAAGATGTACCTGAAGAGCGTAAACAGAAGGAGTCATTTCATTTAAAGAAAACCTATATATGCGCCAAAAGGCCTCTGCAGCTGCGACCCATCGTCCGGATTGGAAGTCATTGATTTCATCGATGTTTTCAGCAGCAGAACCAGTATTTATATGAAAGCTAATACGGTCGTGCCCCTTGTAGACGTATTTGTATAAATATTTGACTAACCTGACCGTTGAACAAATCTCAACATTCATATGGCAGTCAAATAATGCAAGAAGGTAAGGATTGTACGGAACAACCCAACGGTTGCCAAGTGTTTTATTCCGTACTCTTACAACTCGACCATTTCTCCTCCTTCTATAATGCGGATAGCTATCTTCTGTATGGATAGTGTATTCACTGAAATCCTTGGGATAATGATTTCTGCACGTTCCATTTTTCATGCAAACATTATCTTTGTTCAATTGTCCACAAGGACCATGCATCATGTGTTTGATGACAAGTGAATACAGGTATCTCTGCTTATCAGGATCCGGAATCTCAGCAGAAACAATTTGATCGTAAGCCTCAGGATTCAACGGCTTATATTCATGCTTAAGAATCAGGAGCAAGTGAGCATGAGGTAGACCTCTCTTCTGAAACTCAATAACATAAACAAGAGCCTGGACCTCTCCAAAGATCTTTTTCTTTAGTATCTCAGATTTAAGCATTTCGAATTTTGCTCTAAAAACTCTGGACACCAAATCAGGCCTATCCTGTGCATCTTCTCCATACTTTAGATTTTCCTGAATCTCCTTCCAGTTAGTATTACAAGTCATAGTAATAAAAATATCTGGTCTGCCATACTTTTGAACCAAAGCCATAGCGTCTATGTAACGCCGTCGCATGTCCCTTGGACCTCCAATAAACGAAGCTGGAAGGTACACTCTCCGACCAACCTGGCTTCCTTGCCGCTGACCCACAGATATACTATCTATAACACCCTGTAGAATTTCTGTCCTAACGTCATTCTGTTTTTTCCTATGGAAATCAAGCCTAGATGTTTCAATTTTTACATAGACATCAACAACAAACTGTTGTAAGAGCCTCCTTGCATGCAATAACATGGAACGATCGTTTTCTCTCATCTGGAGTAAGTAACAATAATACTCTCGGGCAGAAACAGTGCGGCGTTCTTTTCTGCCGTTTTCAGAAGCTACACAAAACACGAACATATAACATATATATATATTATCTATAGCTTTATAAAGAATTCACTAAAAGGACAAACCACAGGGCAAGCATATCAGATTAGATAAAACTACCTTCCTGTTCCATGCGAATCAAATCTGAGGCAGTCCGTATTGAAGAAGCATCAATTACATTGGCATCATCAGAAGCATCACGTTTTCGTTTACTTGAGTCACAATTTCTTAGTATCCCATGACGCCAACCACACTCACCGTGAGGAAATAGGAGAGGATACTGCAAAGGATCATAGCAGGAAAAATAGTGATGTATTCGATGGCTGGTGTTTGAGTGTGAATAAACCTGAATTTGTGGACCTTTTTCAAGCGACTCGCCCTCAGATTCTGTCCAGATTGCAGCAACTTGGGATGAGGTTGGTAGATTATAGACCCTTTGATCTAAGCTAGGATTGGAGTTAAGAACAATCTTGTGATTTTCCAGATCTGCCACATCCCGCAAGCTCTTAAAGAATCTAGTGTAAGGATTAGACTCAAGAATACGCATTAAGAGCTTCATAGTACTCTCACGAAGCCTAGGGGAATTACGAAGCCTCGTAGATAGCTCTTCCTCCTCATCAAAAAAATATAACTGTATGCCTGTAGGTTGCTTGCCGGAGGAGATTAAGCTATCTAACAAATGATAAACCTGACCTTGAACGCGAAAGGTATAAACTCCTTTGGTGTTCTTTGTAAGATCATGGTCATACTTTGCACCAAAAGTAGTGAAGGCGACATTATTGTTATAAGTACGGATGTGTTTGCGAAACTCAACACACTCTTCATCTGTACCAGAAAAAAGACGATAAAGACTATAAGGCATGACGGGCACAACAACAGAAACGTCACCACCCGCGCAACAGAATTTTGGAGGTTCCAAGTGAAATCTCTTTGCTCCACAATGTTGACAGTTTGGAGCATTTGGCAAAGCAATAGAATGTTCAGGGATCTTTTCCAAGCGAGAGTACGCGGTGCGCCTAGTTTTTCTTTTTCTCCCTAGCGTGACGGTTAAGCAAAGATTATTTAATAGAGGAGTAAGGAACGAGGTTCGATAGTAAAGACAGTCGCTATAAGCAGACAGAGCAATATTAAGGACGTTCACAAACCTTCTTTAAGAGCATGTGTACTAACAAGGATTTGTGCATTGTTTGCAACACCAGATGATTCCGCTCTACCTAAGTCAATAACACAGGTGCCTTCTTCTATAGGAGGAACAGAAAGAGCTGGCAGAAAAGGATGATGAATGCGATATTGTCACAAGGGTAAGGAAAAAGAGCTGAAAAGAGCAGCAGCCTCCAAAAGTAACGAGGATTGCACCTCGAAAGAGCAACAGAACCAAGCAAAAAGAATAAGCAAACATAGTGAATAAACAGGAACACTGTCAAAGGAATATACCTTGTGACAGTGAAGACACAGCCTGAAGAATCATAGAAGGAGATGGTTCAACAGACGATGATTGCGGGTTAAGCTTAGAAGCCAGTTTGTTTGCGGTAGCATCAAGCATGTCAGCTAACGCATCATCACTGTTGACAAGTACATGGTTATCAGGGGGGAGAGTTCCTGCGGCAGACGGGAAAGCACCTGATTCCTGCAAACCTTTTGAGGCACCGGGCATGCGTTTGCTTTGCCTACTTTTATATACCTTTTTTTGACGAACGGTAGGAGGAGTAGTATGAGAAGGTAGTCGGATATCTTGAGCAAAAGAATCAGAGACGGAAACAAATGAATCCACTTGTTGTGAAGTAGACAAAGGATCTTTTTTATAGTGCACACATTGCTCTAACTGAGATGCACCGAGAGCGTCAGTAGCAGAAGAATGGCCAGTACATTTTTTTTCCGCGTAGGCATCTCGCCTACGCTGCAACAAGGCATCCTTTTTCCCCTTGTCCATCTTAGCATAACGCATACGGCGAACAGAGTTGCGGTCCATGGAGTTAGGAATCAAGATCTAGCTTATAATAATGTAATAACACAGAACAAGTTTTAGATAAACAAATATAGAATTATCAGCATATAAGGGCGGTTTGCGCAATCATAAAGATCATAATAATCACTATACCTGAGATAAAGACACAAACTGAAAGTAAGGACAAGAGCCGGAAGCAGTCAAAAGAAGCTACACTGCAAAAGAGCAAAGAAGTGAGTAAAAAGGATCACCACAACCGCTAGCACTAAGTCAAAACAATGGTAAAAGAACGGGGGAAAAAGGAAAAAGGATGAATACACAGAGCAAAGCATAAGAGCAGTATACCCGAGGAAAGAGAATAGCAGGATTAAGAACAATGGATTCTGAATAGACAAAGGCTCAGCAACAAAGTAAACGGTGATATACCCTAGAGAAACATGTTATCGAAAGAAACAGAGCAGAGCAAGCGAGAGCTTTTGTATAAAGTCAAAAAGAAAGGCCGTGCTGGAAGAAAATTTACCAAATAGTAGATCGAAGAGTTTTTTTTCTCGTAGGCGGCTATCAATATTGCACGAAAACAGAAGCGAACTACAGCTTCTGCATACGTAGGAATGGGAAAAAAACCACAGGGCAAACGAGTCTCATGAACAAACTAAACGGTCATATACGCTGCAGGTACCCGGCAGCAAAAGAAACAGAGCACAGAAAACGAAAGTTTTTTGTATAAAGGTAAAAAAAGAAAGGTGAGCTGAGACAAAGCTAAAAAGGCAGCTGAGTGCTGAGTTTTTTTTTTTTTACCTTACACGGCTATCAATATTGCATGAAAACAGAAAGGAATTGACAGCGGATACAGTGAAAATGGTATAACAAGGCACAAGAGCTCAGCAATGTGGCGGGAAAAAAGGCTGGCCCGGTAGAACAGGAGAGTATACAAAAGCAAAGTCAACACAACAAAGAAATGATATTAACAAAGAAACGAGATCTTATAGGGATAGTCGTGTATCAATTCGGGACAACAGCTTTTTTTTTTTTCGAGGGGAAAAAAAAAATTAGGTCACTGCATGAATCGTCCAAGTAGCAAATTGCATGAATCGTCCAATAAACAACCCAGTTAACAACGGCATTATTGCATTTTGAAGGAAAGCACACTGCCCAAAGAGCAAGAAGGCGCCAGAATCAAGAGTCGCGAACAAAAGCGAAAGTAAGGGAAGCGCACAGGAAAGATCAAAAAAAATGAAGACCTGTTAAATCTTTCTTTCCTTACACACGTACCTACGTTGCATGAAAAGAGCAATGCGGTGCATGGAAAGAGCAATGCACGGACAGTGCATGGAGGGATATCAATCTAATAAGGTCCTAAGAGCTACGTTTGGAGAAAAGACAGCTGGTCAGATACAATTGCAAAGTAGTCCAAAGGGAAATTACCCAAAGCGATAATTTTTTTTGGGAAAAAAGATAAATCGGCGCAGAAAAGTTCTTTTCCTCCAACGCAAATAGGCAATTAGAATTCAAGCTTAATGCGCAAAGGATAATATGGTATTTTGAAGGGCAGGAAAACTTTCTTTAAAGACCAAAGTAAAGACCATTGAATACCGATCTTGGGCCACGAAATTCAAGACTAATGCGCAGAGGATAATATGCTATCTTGAAGGGCAGTACTATTTTTTTTAAAGGCAAAACAAAGACCATTGATTACCAATTAGCTTGATATAAAATGTTGCCTAGCATCCAAGGGGGAAAAATGCATTTACAAATATAACACTTCGTAAGGCCAAGAACAAGAGCAAGGCTTCCCATGTTCATAAAAAATAAAAAGAGGGAATGGTTAATACACGCGGCCCAATCGAATATAAACAAACAGAAACTTTCAATAGCCATACATATAGAGGAAAAGACAGATACAAAAAATAGAACAACATTTCCTGGCTAAGAACAAGATCAGAGGCAATTTCCTGTAGGAAGAACAATTTCCTGTTGGCCACATAGGTAGTTAATTACAAGAGGCAAGCATAACTAATTGAATAGTACATAAAACCTAAGAGCTATTACAAAATATGAGTTTATAGACGCTCGAGAGACAAAAAATAGCTCGACTAAGCTGGGTAGCAGGCAACAACAGTGTATCTAGTTGTGGTCTCTGTTCTGATCACATCAGTAGAACGCTTAATGTAGAGCAAGAGCTTTGAGCGTTTAATTTGCCGAGACACACGGCAGTACAACGCAAAATTCTGTAAGAAACTGAAAACCTCATCAATAACAATGGAAATGAACGACAAGCAACATAAAGGAGCGACCATCAAATTAAAGTATGCATACACAAGAAAAGAGCAGCACACTACCTCATCATCAGTAGACGCATACATGTAAACGGCACTAACACCAATTAGCCTCTCAGCTTCAGCGCCCAGCGCAATAACATTCACATACCCAGTATCATCATGAACAGTAAGCCTAATCCATGCTCTGCTCTTAAAAACAGCACCATGAAAAACCAAAACAAGGAAGACAGAAATCCTGTGATAACTAATGAAAAAACAGAACGCACCTAGGGAAAGCATATATTCCCAGGCCACAAGAAAGACATAGAGTTCCAAGGGTTGTAGCATAATCATAGAGTTCATAACAATGGGGACATGCCATATGCCAAGAGCGAGCACAAGGCCAAGCAACCTCAACATGGCCCTTAATCCACGCATTTCCCCAATCCTGACATCCAACGACTGAAAATGAAGGAAGGGAACAACAGGATAAAGAAAAGACACCAAAGCAACAAGAAACAATAAAAGCACTAACGAAGGGGTCACAGGACAGAACATCGGCAATGGTAGTAACAGTGAGATCACGAACAGGGGGGAGCAAGACAGTAGGGTCCAAGTAAGCGCGCTCGTCAAAAACCAAACGAACCAACTCAGAAATGTTATCAGTACACCTAAATGCAAAAACAAAACAAGAGGGTACACAGCTTAGGAAAAGACCCATCCTATACACCAGAGAAACAAACAAAAGAAGCAACACTTACCAAGCATCAAGCAACTTTGCCTCCAAAACATCAGGACAAACAAGAACAATAGATGAGGGATGAATCGACAAAGACAAACCTAAGGAAAAAAGAGACAAACCAAACCAGCAAACACCCAACAGTAAAGAACAGTAGATCCGCATAAAAGAGACCAAAAAAGATAAAAAGAAAACCAACAAAGAAAGGGAAAAGCATACATTTTTTTGTAGTCACCCTAACCCTGATAGCAATGATAATAGGCATAGCATGCATTAAATTTTCGATAGCTCGCCCCTCAATAGATTCATAGTCACCAAATAGGGTCAAGATGATGGGACGCTTCCTACATCAGCGACACAAATAAAAGAAGAAGATCATAAGAGCAACAAAACAAAGAGCAAGGAAAAAAAAAATGTAGACAGAGTAACATGATTACCCCTGGTCAACTATAATAATATCTCTCTCACGGCGAAGGATTCCTTCCACATAAACGTCCCGTGCAGGCAAAGAATTAACCACCACCCCCATGATATCTAGGTTCATGCAAGACAAAAAACAGAGTGAATGAAGCGAAAACAAACAACGAATAAAAAAAAAGCAAGAAAAGGGAAGAGAGAACCTACTTATGAGGTTATTAGTGCCAGCAACAAAGTGCAAAGAATCGTAAGAGCGCAGGCCAAAATAAAAAGGCAGAACAGGAAGCCCAACATCAGTAGCCTCTCTAATAGAAGTATCAGAATTAATCACCCAGTAAAAGGGATAAAAACAATCTGGGGGGAGCTCGGCAAGCCGGCGGATCTCAGCATTCGATATATAATACTTCCTAAATGGAAGAAGAAGCCCATCCACACAAGGAACGTTGTCATCATAAACAATGGCAGACACTTTAATACCCTAATTGGAAAATTATATTAGACAGCGAAGCAAGCACAAAAATGACAGCATCAAATAAGCATGCATCAAGAAACAAATCAAAGGCACCTGCGAATCGCCAAACCGAAATAAACGGAACGACTTCGAAATCGATCCATGGCTAGCAACCTTGACACGATCAGCCTCAACAACATGAACCAAGGTCATCCAACCACGTGTAGATTCAGAGACATTTGATATGCGAAGAAGCTTAGGCGCAGCAGCAACGGCTGAAGCAATAGCAGCAATAAGATAAATATATAGGACAAGCATACCCAAAGGCAACTAAGACAGAACCTATAAAACATAAAAACCTGAAGATGCGTCAAAAGGCTCACATGGAATGGCACCAAGCTCGGGTACAAAACTAACAGTGGAAGCAGCAGCAGTTGCCATTCCTGCAAAACAAAAAGGCACAGATAAGACCGTACGAAAAGACGATGACCAAAAAAAATAAGCGGGAAAAAACAGTACCTTTACGCAAAAAAATTACAAAATAACAAAATAACGCAAAAAAATTAAAAGACAAGAACAACAATCGTAAAATAGGCAAAGAGGGGAAAAATGGAAAAGGCACAGAAGAAAATTCCGACAAAAGATCAACCTTTGCAGGAACGCAAACAGCTAGAAGAGGAAGCCTAGAAAATAAAATTAAAAAAAAACACCTGTAAAACTTAGCATGCAAGCGAAAATACAACAAAAAAAGGAAAAAAGCACAGAAGAAATTTCCTACAAAAAAGTAAGGTTGAAGAACGCAAAAAGTTGGGAGAGGAACCCTAGAAAAATATCATAATCATTAAAAGGAAGAGCCAAAAAACTGAGATAGGAAGGAGAAAAAGGAATCGTACCTCCAATTGCTGGGTAGAAAAGAAAAAATCTCAGGTAAAGCACGTGGGAAAAACGAGGGTGCATTAATGAGATACCTCCAATTGCTGGGCAGAAGAGAAGAAATCCCAGGTAAAGGACGGAGGCCATAAATCCAAAGGATAAAATCCATCGTGTAATACGCCTTACTCCAATTAATAAGAAAAAGATTCTCAACACACTCATTCATAACCACAGCAGACGGAGAAGGAAAAAATGGAAAAGCATGCGGGTGTATCGATGAGGTGAG